CCACTAAAAAGAAAAATAATTCCAAAAATATCACCCTTTCTAAAAAACCGTTGGGTGGGGTGCGGTTTTCGACGAAAATCGTACGAGTAGGGGGCTGTTTTACTGACCGCATGAGGCCGGGGCGGGGCGGTTTGCACCCCCACCCGGCGATTTTTTATATATATATTTTTCCCCACATATGACCCATAAGTGGTCTTGGCACAATTGGATTAGTTGTTTCTCTGTGTGCAAGAAGTTCTAGGTTTTAAACCCCATCATCCCATATTAAATCTTTTTATTTTGTAGAGATAAAAAAAAGCAGCATGTTGCAGTGGTTCGAACCTAGATAATAAATAGTTAACTAAATTTAGCACACAACTACACCATCAGACTACAACTCTCCTGTTAAACAATTTTGCACAAGTACATATTGACAAAGTTGTACTACTTGGACGCTAAAAATCCTCAGTAACTTTGGACGACCATAACTTTGTGCTCCAAAATTCGAACGTCATTAATTTTTTTTTTTTTTTGAATCCACATAACTTTTCATCTTTCTTCTTTGGTCTACCTCCTCCTCGTGACAATAACCCTTGCCTTCATCTTCCTTCTTCTTGTAATAACCCTTGCTTCATCTTCCTTCTTCTCGTTTCCCCATCGGCTCGTAGATTGGCCCTTGCCTCATGGTACTCATCATCTAACGTGTCTACATCATTGAATTCATAGACATGGAACACTTCTCGTGCAACAAAATCAGCCTCATCCTCTGCTGCAAAGTTAGCATGCAAATCTATCGGTCGATCTGGATCATTCTCTCTTACCAGTTCATCCCAAGAATCAACATTCTGAAGAGATACAAGACTACTTATATCAAGGTAAAAGTCAGTTATTAAGTCATTAACATGATGTATAAACAATCTTTTATTCACTAACAAACAGATAAACACAACACTCATCCACCATTATTCTATGATAGGGTTTTCACAAGGCAAGGAGGCAATGACTATTCTACCCAGGCGTTGGAGGTGCTCACCATCAGATTCAGGGGCAAACTCGCGAAAAGAAGACAACTAGGGGGCGGTGGTACCCTTTGGAATCTACTATGCCGCTTTCCTACCTTTACAACAAGCTATGCAATACAAAAAATAGACAAAAAGGAGCCCAAAAATCTCGTATAATAACCTTTTATTCAGAATCGAAGGCACAACAATAGTATTTGAAGAGTACTTAGAACTCACTAGTCGCGACAAACGAAGAGACCAAAAATCGAGCTTCTACAGTGGGATTAGGGTTTTCCAGGAAAAGCTTCCTTGGGTTTCCTAGGCTTCTTCGGTGCCTTCATCATTACCAGAAATCTTGGGTTTCGTTGCGAAATGATCATTGTGGGTCTATTACGCTGCTGGAGCCTGGATGCATGCACGACTTCGAAGGGGAAGGAAGGCGATGGTGTGGATGGATGTTTGGATGACAGTGTGGAGTGGGGATTGGGATTTCTTGGTGGACAGGGCATCGATCGAAAGAGGTGTGATGGTTATCGGAGGTAGATCATGGCCAGGGATGGGATTGAAGCCTCGTCATCAGTCGTGGTCAGAAGACGGAGAGACGAAGTTGGGAATACGTAGAGGAGACGAGGAAATGGACCGGTGGTCAGCTGTGTCGCTTTATGATTTATATATTTTAATTTTATTTTGTTGTGTTAATCCACGTTGGTTGGTGGGACAATAAATAGCCAACTTAGCATTTTTCATCAGTCCAGTCATGCCGTTAACTAACACCGCAAGCTGGCGGGCTCTATTTTTTCTGTGATTATAAAATCAATTATTGCATTTATATTGACCTTTGAGATGGATGCTTACTATGGACATTGTCTGGTGTATGATAGACGTCGCCATATATAATTTCCATTTACACATACTAGTTGCATTTTTTAGTGGGGTCGGTCACTTGGTCGGTTTCTCCCACATGTAGGTCACCCCTTTTTGTTTTATATACTATTAGTGCCCTAGATGTGCAAATGTATTGGATTGGTGGATTCATGAATAAAATGAATTTGATCAAATGGATTGGTCAATTGAATCATTAATCTAATTGATATCTAAACATTGGACCCATACTTAAATTTTGAAAAAGTTTAGGTATTAAAATATCATAATAAAAATATTAAGGTACAAAAGCGTATTTTGAAACATATTATTTTCTTAATAAATAAGCTTTAGGTATCAAATTATAAAATATAACTACTAAACGGTAATTTCTCCAATTTTTAGGTGTGGGCAACGGGTACCCAATACCGTTTGAACAACCAAGTCCATCCCATGTCCCAAACCCATAAGGGTTAACGGGTACCCGTTACCCGTACGAGACGAATAATGGGTACCCAAATTACTCATACATACCCGTCCAATTAAAATGGTCGAACACGTGCCGGCGAACAAGGCTTATGAGCTCCTCCACCACCTCCACTCCGACTGCTGCCTCTACCTTCCGACTGCAACTGCTCCGCACGCAATGCTACCAGACTGCTTTTGAGCAGTAACCGTCGTCGCCACCGGCGCATGAATTGATCCGCTTCGAGTCGCCGCAATGGTGATTGTTTCTCTCGGAGACATCGCGGCTGCTCCTGCGTACTCAGTCGAGCGTGACACACATTTACCAATTGTTCACAAAGAAATACAACAAGATATGCATAAGAAACAATAGTTATCAGAGCGAACACAGTAATTAGACTAAAGGAGACTGACTCGCTTGTACCATCACACTAGAGAGTGGCCAAGTGTAACCACAAACTAATGCATAGTATAGCAGGTTTAGCTTTACTTGTCAACCCGAGTCCTAGATGTGATGACTACTTCGTGAAATTCTTGTTATCTAGTTGTTTAAGTGTAGTGAAGTTATAACTAACCTAAACAAGCAAAAAGCAATCATGTTCGAGTTAGAGAAGGCTCACCCGGATATGGTTCCCCCTAGATTGCAGTTAAGTCGAGTTGTAATTCACCAAGTACAGATATCATGATGGTTATACTGTGGAAGGTTCTTATTCAGTCTGAAGTCTCAACTAAAGGTCTTCAGACCCTCCCAGTCTGAATACCCGGCGGGCGACTAACCTCCACCGGAGTAAACGAACTGAGGCCCTAACGTGCAAAACCTCCTCTACTGGAATAAATCTAGTATAGTGCAGTGAATTGACTTCTCGACTAAAGTAGTCAATTCACCATCTTCAATCAAGGATGCTCTATCAACCTAGATAGATATTCTCTCTCTAGGTCAAAGCAGAAACTACAAGAATGTGATCAAGATTCATGCAATTCAGAAATCATACCTCAATCGAATATAATCAATATCAAAATATCATGTACTTGGGTTCACACAACCAAACCTAACATACAAATCTAGGGTTCTTCATACCCAGGGTGAGAGAGAGAGTTTACTCCATAGAGAGAGAAGAGAAATAAGCTTCAGATGTAGAAATCATTTTGTGGAGGATGAAATTCAGCTTCTGGTTGTCAATCGGCATTTCTCCAGGCTTCAATCGAGCTCCAAAACTCTGTTTCTTCCTTTAAAACTTGGATTATAAATCAAAAACCCGAAATCTGCTTGTAACAACCCCAGCTCCCGAAACCCGATCCAAATACCCGGTCGGTTATTAAGGGAACCGGCCTGGTATTAGCAAAACGACGCGCATCAGCAGGAGGAAATACCCGACCTTGGGTGAAAATACCTGGCCGGCTATTTAGGGCTCTCGATCGGGGGTCGTCTGATCCTCCGGGTTGAAATATCAGGCCTTCGACCACATTTAACCGGTCGGGTATTTAATCGACCTGATCGGGTATTTTGCCTTCCAGCTCCTCCTTGTCGCCAACTCTCCGTTCTCGACCCAACACTCGCTTCCAAGCCTCCCTTTCTGCTCCAAGTCCTGAAACATGATTTAAAAGCACAACCTAGCGTGAAATGGGCTTATAACACGAGAATTGACTCTCAAACGATTCTAGAATAGTGGGAAAAACATGTGCAAATATCGATTTATCAGATACAATCTTCAGATGATGGTAGACCTTAGCACCCATCTTCATGGCTTCCTTGAATGAGGAAGCTTCAGTGAGAAGAATGATGAACTCCTGCATAGCGAGCTTGTTTCTAGAATGTGATCCACCATTGATAAGATTGAAAGCAGGAACAGGAAGCACCGGCTTTGAGTTGCCAGCAAGGTTTGCAATGTGCTACATACAGAAACCATGTAGATTTATCATTCACATTTACAACAGATCATAAGTTTTAACGGGTAAATTATCTGTACATAGTTAACGGGTAGTACAGGTACCCATAATATCCAAACAGGTATTAACAGGCAATCCATGGGTACCAATTATAGAATTTTTCAGTCCCATGTCCCATCCCGAGTATTTGGATACCTGTAACCCTCAAAAAAGGAACAGGTATGGGTATACTCAAATGATAGACCGCATTAGTTGGATATTTAAACGAATCAATTGGTGAATTGGATCAAATTTGCAAACTCTCCTAAAACCCTTAAACCCACCCGGATTCTAGTGTGCAGCGCGGTCAACGGGGTACTGTCTGTCAAAAACATCGGCCCCAAACTGAAGCAGCCAGCAGTCCAGTAGCAGTAGCCATCAAAGCTAGAAGAGGCGGTGAGATTAATAAACCAGCAAGAAACCGCGTCGATCGGATCTAATTGTATTTGTATTATTACTATCATCTTTACACACAAAGTCCATGTGTCGGTGACACCCCTCGGCCCCACTCCCCACACTCTGGTCCTCGCTTGCTACTTGCTTCTTGCTAGTCCGTCCATGTGACCCTGCTCCGCTGCTGCTCTTCCCACTTCCATTCATATTCCCCCACTTCCACTCTCTCCCAGATCAGATCCGATCACCTTCTTTTCCTTTCTGCCACTTTAAAGTGGTGGATCTGTGTCGGTTCCAACACTGAAATATTGGATCTTCTTCTCTTCTTTCATTCCCAGCTCCAAAACCCAGATTTCTTTCTCCCCGTTTCCAATTAAACTACTTGCCACGCACTTTAGCAGCCACCAGCAATGGCGAGATTCAGGAAGCTACTCTTGCTCTCCTTCTTCTTCTTCTTGTTCACCTCCCCACTCTTCCTCTCTGCATCTTCCTTAGACAACGATGACGACGATGAGCAACTACAACTGCCCAATAAAAAGAGCAGCAGCAGCCTATCATCATCACAAGCAACACCAACCACCAAGCCTTCCAAATCTACCATTCCCTCTGCTAACAAGAATCAGACCATGAAACTCACCAAGAAGACTACTGCTACCAACTCTGCTGCTATCGGAGATACTCTGTCTTCTTCTTCTTCTTCGAGTGGTAAGAAGAACCAGACCAAACTTATTACCACCAAATCCTCCAACTCTACTAAATCAACATCACCCACCAAGTCCAAGGCCAGCAGCAGTAGCGATTCTCTACTCACCACGAAGAAGAAGCCCACCAATTCCACAGCTGACACTGCTCAGCTCCTCAAGAAGAAAGACAAGAAGCAGCAGCTCAATTCCACTTCCACTCCCACACCCACCAAAATCAAAACCCTAGTTTCAGATCCATCAATCAAGCAATCAACTTCCCCCAAAAACAAAACCACCTCCAAATCACCCACCACCACAAAATCCCAAACCCTAACCCCCAAGCCAGATCCGAAAATTAACAAGAAGCCAATTACCAAGGCGAAGTCGCGCTCGCCGCCGAGCTGGATCGAGCCAGACCAGGACGACGACGATTTGGTGTCGGAGTTCAGAGATCTGCCCTCCAAGTTCCACCAGCACCTCATCCCCGACCTGGAGCGGATCTCGCTGACCTCCAGGAAGTACCTGAACCAGGCCAACAAGGAAATCACCAAAGGATTCAAGCCTTACGTGGGGAACAAATACGCCGCCACGGTCGCTTCCTTCGTCTCCTTCGCCTTCATCCTCATCCCTCTCCTCCTCGTCTCCCTCGTCGTCAACCGAATCAAGGCCTACTTCTCCCTCCAGAAGCTCCTCATCTTCGTCCAGGTCTACCTCGCCATCTACTTCGCCATCCTCTCGCTCTCCGCTCTGGCCACGGGGCTCGAGCCGCTGCGTTTCTTCTACGCCACCGCCGGATCCACTTACTTCTGCCTCATGCTTCTCCAGACCTTGGCCTACCTGCTCTACCTCGTGCTGCTCCTCATTTACCTGGCTCTCGTCTTCTCCCCCGCCGCCGGCGGGTTCGGCGGGGCCGGGATGGGCCCGAAGATGCTGGGCCTGATCCAGGCACTGATGGGCTTCGCCGTTGGGCTGCATTTATACGTGGCGGTGTTTCATAGGGTGCTGCTCCACCAACCGCCCAAGACGAATTGGAAGGTCCACGGGATCTACGCCGTTTGTTTTCTGGTTGTCTCGCTGCTTGCCGGCGCCGAGAGGAGGAAGAAGGCTTACTTGGAAGAAGGCGGCGAAGAGGGCAAGGTTAACTGAATCGAATTGAATTGGTCCCTCAAATTACACTATTACCCCAATTAGTCCTCAGATTTCCCCTGTTTACATCTTTTAGTTCCTTTCTCTTTTTTTTCAGTCTGTTTGTAATTTATTTCAACAAAACTCTAAAGAGGGGTCATAAGGGCGGGGCTGATTTGGTCCCACGAAGTAGAAATAGGTGCTTCATTGGCCGCAATGAAAATCATTGCTGCCTTTTTAGTCCGAATGGGGGAAGTAAAAGGAAAGCAGAGATCTTGTTACAGAAACACACATCACATGAATGAATTTTGTAAAAGTGTATCTCAGTGGCCCAAGAAAATTTCAATCATAGATAGAAACAATAAAATAAAAAAGTTTACTATTTTGTCTGTCTGTCTGTCTCGCTTTGCATCTGATCAGTGAAACCCACCTACGTGATTCTGTACGTTGAGCTCTCTTGCATGCTCTGACTCGCGCCGCAGGTTGATATTGGCCTGATCTTATGGTCTGTAAATATTGGTCGGATCCGGTGTCTAATAAGATTAGATCTGATTCCATCTGTGAGTTTAAGTACGGAATCATTTTGTCGGTGGTGTGAGGAAGAGGAAGAGATAGGCAATTGTGGAGCAGCCTATCAAATTGTGTCCCACTGGCCACTACCAGCGAAGAAGGATGTACCCTCGCCAACAGCAGCATGTGAAGGTGAGGGGATTCGAACTAAATATGAAAAGGGTTTTTTTCTAGCAGCACTGGTCCATCTGGGAATTTAATAGTCACCGACGGCTTAGGATTTTTGAGGATGACCGAGTCGAGGAGGAGGATTGTGTCGGTGGGCAGGAGCTCCTAACCAGCTCAAATATAAAATTGATGTCAGCAAGTTGCTGACTAATTGATAGGACTGCACTGATACTGAGAAAGATGCAGAATCTAGAGCGTTTGTGACAGAAATAAGAGAGAAATAGCGGATGGGTTAAGTAAGAACTTGAGATTGAATTGAGAGATGGAAGAAAGTTACATATTCAGGGCTCTTGTTATTTGATATTCCTGATCAATGCCCAATAAAGTTACATATTCATAACCCTGCAACTCATGATTGGTCGAATACCAACTAATCCCCACACGACTACTGAACTATTACATGTTCATAAACCCACTAATACCTCTATCTCTGCTTACAGTTCATAATATCTGGCAATGGCACTAGAACAGAACACATATCTTGCACGGTTTCTGATCTTTCCTTCAAGTGTAATCCTATATAGCAGACAGATACTTACATTTACTAAATCCATTTCTTCATCTTGGAACTGGCATTAGTACCCAGCCACTCCATGAACTGAACCCTTAACTCTCTAAGGTTCAGACCATCCATATGAATAAGCCTCACCCGTATCAATTGCGACACAGGGAATGTGGTGTATGATGGGCCAGTACTCTCCTTTTTGCTTTGCACATTTTGGCTTCAGAAGAGGACACTCGTAAAGTTTCAGGCACCCGAGCGACGGTGGAAGTCCCTCATCTGGTAAAGACCGGAGCTTTGGGCAGTGCCAAATCACCAGCTCCTCTAAACAATTGAGGTGCATCAAGCCCTTGGATATAGACTTCAGCTCGCTGAAGTGTGCAATGTGGATAAAAGTTAGCGAAGTGGGGAGCAACAGCCCTTCATCATCTGGGAAGGAAGCCACCTGAGTACTAGGACATTCACCTACAATTGAGAGTCGCTTCAGCGAGGTAAGCCTGTTAAGCTTCCAATCGGATATTGGCTGCTTGAGACTCTTGCAGTTTGTGATAGTAAGCATGATCAGGTTCAAGGGCAACCCACCTTCCGGAAAGGACTCTAGACTCTCACACAGGATTATCTCCAGAAGTCGAAGAGAGGTCAGGTGTGGCAGTTGATTGGGAAGAGACCTCAAGTTCTCACAGAAAAAGAACCGGAGACGTGTAAGGGTTTGAAGGACGAGCAATTCCCTCTCTGGGAACCTCTCTAACTCTGGACTGTGTGTTATTGATAGTTCAGTGAGCAGAGGGAGAACAGGATGGTGAAGTAGATCTTCAAGAGATTGTGTTGTGAGGCTACAAATTGAAAGATGCTTCAGGGAACCAGGAAATGGACATGTACTAGGTAAAATGGTTAGAGATGAACATCCAGAGATTGTCAATTCCTCCAGTTGAGAAGGCCTCTCAGCATTCCTATTGTCTGCATAGTTCATGTTACTTATGAGGAAGGACTTCAAAGAGTCACAGCATGAAATCCAAACACGACTAAGACTGGATGGCAAGCCTCGTTCTGACAAGGAGACAAGCTTTTGACAATTCTGAAACTCAAGTGTTTTTAGATGTGTGAGGTTGTGCAGCACATCTGGGAATTTCTCAAGTTTTGGGCAGCGATTTAGCCGCAAGAATTCAAGACTAGAAGGAAGAGGCCCTTCTCCTAGAAACATAAGGTCTTCACAGTCATCTATACCCAATTCCTTCAGAAAGGATAGTGCCCCCAAGCCATGTATCATCACTTCTTGCAAATTTACCAGCTTCAAAATCTTCGTGATCCTTAATGTGGTAAGGGACTCCATACTAGTACCATTTCTGAGGATCAACTTGTTACACTCTGTAATAGACAATGCTGAAAGAGAAGCAAGAGTTTCAGGTAAATCAGCCATCTGTTGGCACCCTCTAATATTGAGTCTTTGGAGGCAAGGTAAGGAGTTCGGTAAATTCCCGATCAACTTGGGGCAGTTCCCGATTGTCAGCTCAACCAACTTTGGGAAACATTCAGTAGGACAAGACCATTTTTCCCACTCTGGCATATCCTCTATGCATAGAGTCTCCAATGCGGGAAATACGCAAGGTAAAGATGAACCAGTGCAAATATTATTTCCATAAAACTCACCTCCGATTTCTTTCACTTTATTCATTCCGCTTAATCTCAGAGTTGTAAGCAAGGATAGCTGTCCGAGTAGAGGAACTGACCTGATTTTACGACAGTTCAGGAGCTCCAAATGCACCATAGCAGCAAATGTGGGATCTCCAACCCATACTGGGAACTTCACACCGCCGTAAAACTTAATTGAAAGCTTTTTCAGCTTCCAGTGAGGCCGTAGTAAGTTCAAGACCTTTACCTCAACTGTTTCATCGTGAGAACATTGGGAGTCAGTACACCATTCCAAGCCTAAATCATCCAAATCTTGTTTGCCTTTTAAATCAGCAACCTCTGCATCTTGGATATTCATAAAATTACTACACAACCCCTGTATGTGAAGCTTTCCCTGAAGTTGAGACAAATTCTTCAAGTCCACTATCCGAAACCCCTTCCCGCCCTTCCCTACCAAAACCTTAGGCAAAATAGTCAGATTTGTCAACTTAGCTACCTCTGCCGGAAGCTCTTGCAAGCTGACTGTATTGCTGTTGTCAAGCCACTGTAGATTGATCAGATTGCCAATACTTCGTGGCAGCTTTACAAGGTTCTGGCACCCATGTAATCTTAAAGTCTGCAAGTTGAAGAGCTCGCCTACCAGTTCAGACAAGCCGACAATGTCAGTGCCTGACAAGTTAAGGTACCGCAATTGCTTCAGAGTAAAAACCACATCAGGTAACTCTTCCATTTTATAACCAGCTAATGAAAGTACCCTCAGATATTTTAGTTTTGGCACCAACTCAAGCAGCACTTTGTAGGATAAGAAGTCATCTGAATAAGTTGTAAATGGCAATGCTGAGAGTGATCGCAAGTTCTTCAATTTAGCAAATACTCCAAATCTTTGTAATAAGTCATATTTGTGACGCCTGAAAGAGGAATAACGAACTGTTGGGAATGACGCAGTGTCTTCCAACTTGTCATCCAACCTCAAGCATATCCCTTTGCTCTCATACTCTGCTAGATCATTCATCAAGTCGTGCATGGTGAACCGAGATGGGTTGTCACGTCTTCTAAAAGAATATGAGTTGTCATTTGCTTGCTGAAAGAATGATCTTGACAATAGATCATGGAAATATTTGTGGCCCAAGTTCTTTGCAGACTTCTCAGAATGTTTTCGCTGAACTAGAAAGCCCTCTGCCAGCCACAGTAACACCAACTCATCTTCCTCAAATTCCATGTCTTTTGGGAGTATTGCACAATAGCCAAAACATCGCTTCAGGTTCGAAGGAAGGTGATGATAGCTCAACCTCAAGGCAGGAAGAATGCCATTGGTCTCAGGCAAATCCCATATTTTGCTGTACAACACTTCTTCCCATTGCTTGGGATTCTGTTTACCTCGTAACATCCCGCCAAGGGCCTTAATTGCTAATGGCAAACCTCGACACCTTTTGACAATCTCCTTTGCCATCTCTTCGAGATATGAGTGTGCTGTGAACGCTGTTGTTCCCAAAGCATGATCAGCGAATAGATGGAGACAATCATTGAAAGCCAACTCCTTGAGAAGATAAGGTGGAAAGGTACCCATGATCGATGAAACACTACTATTACGAGTGGTAACAAGTATTTTGCTTCCAAGAGCTCCAGTTTCAAGTGGAGCTCGACAAAGAACCCATTTCTGGTAGTCCTCATTCCAAACATCATCCAGAACAATTAGAAATTTCTTCCCGGACAGCTTCTCCTTCAACTTCTCTTGCAACGAATTTAAATCATTACAACCAGAACCATCTGAACCTAGAATGGTCTTGGTTATCCTATGGACATCAAAGTCCTCACCAACTGAAACCCAAGCTATGACATCAAACTCTGATTTTGCTCGGCTAAGCACCAGCTGCGCAAGGGTGGTCTTGCCAAGTCCCCCCATACCAATTATAGGAATCACTGATACATCTACATCAGTTTGATTAGCTCTCAAAAGCTCCAAGATCCCTAGCCAATCTTCATCTCTCCCATAAACTTTGCTCTCATTTACCAGAGAAGTCGTTGGTAATCTTTCTGTTGTCGTTGGTAGCTTAGTCCCAACAATCTCTTTCAAATCCAGGTGATTCTTCTCTGCGCTGATCTTCTGCAATCTAACAGTAATTTCTCGAACCTTTGACACCATTTCAGCATTGAACTTAAGGGTTCTGGGATTGATAGCAGAAAAACATGTGGAGATTAGTTTCTGAACCTTACTTGTGCTAGCTGAAGCAGTTTCTGCTTTGATCTTCCTCTGCAATTGCTCCGTAGCAAAGGAATCAAGCACATCCTCTGCATCGTAAGCCAAATCTCGAAGCTCGGTCGCCCAGATGCTCACCAATCGGCTGGTCATCTGCTTCTCCTCGGCATCATCAAGCACTGCATAGATCTTCTTCAGTAGACTAGCCCAGCTGTTGAGCTCGGCCACGACTTGGGCTTGACGGAAGTACTTGAGAAAGTCGTGCGAACCCAGCTTTTCGATCAGCAGCTTCAATGACTCGGACAGTAAAGCTCCGCCAACAGAAGCAACAACCTCCATCTCTGGCGACAACGATCAGCTCAAACTGGCTCCGTAATGCGACTCAAAAAGAAGAAGGGGAGAAAACAAAACTGCAGGAAATGAACAAGCTTGGAAAATTCCCGCACGACTTCTTCTTTTGGCCGCGACGACTTTGGCGGCAAGGGTCACCTGTGCGTCTTCTTCTTCCCAGGAAAAGGCAGTGAAGTACTGAAGGAGTAGTGGAGTAGCAAATTCTCTCACGCGCCCACCGGATGACCGGAGAGGCCGGTAGCAGCAAAATAATCATTCCGGTCACTGTATTCTAATTTCTAGTCGCTCTTCGACCCCTTCACTTTCTCTCTCTTTGCTCCCGACGGCCACTTTGTTCCCAGCGGAGCCGGAAAGTCGATGCGATCGATCAGTGATCACGCCGTCTAATTTTCTCTCTGGCTGTTCTCGGCATCTTCTGTCGGAAGAAGTTGCCGCCGTCGACCACCATTTATTTAGACGGAAGAAATTAGGAGAGCGGGAACAGTCCGGCATCATGAACTGGACCGTTTAAGAATTCGAATACAAGTTTGTAATCGAAGATCGTCGGCCACTTTGCCTCCTTCAAATGATCTGCAAGCGGTATATGAATGAAATGTACTTCCCACCGATGCTGCCTCATGGAGTTCTAGCTATAGCAGGGTGGGTGCGTGGTTTGTGATTGCACAAGAACCGCATGGGTACGAATGGCAATTTGAACTCGTCCCGTCGGATATTACTCGATCTGATCAGCGATGGAGCGGGTATTACCTGACTCGCAGTTGCGTGGGGCAGGGTATGAGTATTTACCAATGTTGTCAAAATCGAACTGAAGTATGACCCGTTATTGTAAACGGCTCGCACTTTAGTGGTACAACCGGTATTAGGCCATTAAAAAGCCGTTAGAGAACCGGTACTTTATAAACAACAATATCTTAAGTACAAGACATATAAGATAGTAAATTAAAAATTTAATGACTAAAATGAAATATACTTTGTAGGTACCATTAAGTAATATTACATTAATCTACAGTATCATTTATAGTGGAAGCATAAAACTGCAACCTCCATTCAAAATTCCCTATCCATAGAGTGATTTGCGGGGAGCTTATGTGGCAGGGTATTTAGCGGGCATTTTTCTCTCTCCCCTTTTGGAATCACCATCGACTTTCCGGTTTTCTTTTTCTTTCCCCATCAAATTGCAGCCCCTCTTGGCCTTTGTTACTTGTTAGTATCTTCGTTTTCTTTGCAGCAGTTTCTCCATTACCCCAAACCAAAACCTCACCACTCTCCGTTAGCAGTAGGGAGGCCTCTCAATTTCATCCAGTCGTCCATGGATAGCTCTGTTCTTCCTCTGAAGCGATTCTCTTCTCACTGCTCTGTCTTGGTATGGCGGTTTAGTCATACTGTCGTTCGATCGCTTCTCCGACTTTCCCACAGAATCACTTCCCACGGATATCTCGAGGTGGCGTTTTAAATTGGTGAGTAGATTGTTGCTTAAATTTTTTTCCTTCATCGTGCGATTATAATCAATTGAGAGTTAAGTTCCTTTTGAATCTAGATAATTGAGTTCTAGGTCTGTGTTGGGTTGCAGTAGGGAGGTCTGGTTTTTGCCAATCGATTCTGCGTACCTGTTGTTCGACCACTTCTTCTTCGGGATTACATTTCTCGCGATTCATTTCATGGATTGGCAGCTCAGTCAAGGTCTGCACTCCAAATCGATGGGTTTGTGTTTTTTTTTTCTTCTATCTTTCAACCCGCGATTCTCCACATTTGAAAGGCTTATTATCTCAAAACCAAAGGCTCACCTCTATCAATAAATTTTCCATGCCTGCAGTTCGACCGCTGCTTCTTCTGCATTTCAGTTGTTGCAGTCGGCTTATTGGAATGACAGTTCTGGGTGTTAAATTGGTGGGTTCGTCATTTCATTTCTAAGCTTTCAATTGGTATTGCTTCCCTAAGCTTGGACTTGGTATTTGCTTCACGAATTCTATTTCTGTTGCATTGATTTGTTTTGCGTATCTGGACTTCATAGCTGACGTGGGAGACATATTTATGTCCAGCTATTCGATTTGCCTTAGGCTGTAGATGTTACGACATTTATTGATTCACTTGCATAAGTTGAAACATTGTATGGTTTTGTGTGTGTGCCTTGGTTTTAACTCTGTTGGAAAATCACCAACGCCCATCTCCTTCCGTAAAAGAACGACCTTTATACATACTCTCTGTCAAATAAAAAGAATCCCAGATCGTAAGCTAACCTTGATCATAGAATGGCAGTTTCAAGAGCTGGAAGGATAATTTGGTCATGCCGAGTGTCATTGTTTTTCTAATCTTTATTTAGCTGCTTAGAGATTCCGGGCCAGTGAGTCCATTTTTATCTGGTATAGTTTCCTCAATCCTTAGCTTCTTCTGGATCCCAATCCATGCTTAATGATTGTGTTTTGAATTCTTATATGCAGTTATGATGCTGACGAGTTTTGGGCTGAACTGTCAGCATCTTATTTTTGCTGCGACATATAAATTTGGTGAGATTTCTAGGTTTCTATGCTAAAGGTCACACTTGATTTATTTGTTTTAGCATAATGAAATTGCATTTTTTCTTTATTGCCAATTAGGGTTCCTCTGTGGTTTTCTCAATCTGGAGGATGATATCTGCAGTTGTGTCCTAATTTGCAGAAGTTCGATAGGAAATTGATCGTGTTAGATAGCCTCGACGCAAGTTTAGGGTATGAAAACTGAAATGTGTAGAGTAAATAAAAGGAAGATCAAAAGAAGAATGTTGCGCCAAGATAAAGTATAATAATAGGTGGAAGTAACAAGGCAATGCTAGGAGATATGTAATTATTTCATGACGTTCGGATTTTGGAGCACAAAGTTATGGTTGTTCAAAGTTATTGAGAATTTTTAGTGTTCAAGGATTAAAACTTTTTCAATATGTAATTATTTCAACATAAGAGTTGTAGTTTGGTGTTGTCGATGTTGTGCTAAATTTAGTTAACTATTTATTATCTAGGTTCGAACCATCACACCCACAACATGCTGCTTTTTTAATCTCTACTAAATAAAAAGATTTAATATGAGAGGTTAGTGTTTCGAACCTAGGACTTCTTACACACAATAAAAACTAAACAAATTGTGTTAAGACCACTTATGACATTTATGCAGGAAAAATATATATATTACAAACCGTCGGGTGGGGGTGCGGTTTGCAACCAAACCGCCCCAGCCCAATGCGGTCAGCAAAACCGCCCCCTACCCATGCGATTTTCATTGGAAACCACGCCCCCACCCTGCGGTTTTCGTGTAAACCGATGAGTGGGGTGGCGGTTTTTGGAATTGAGTGCAATTTTTGGAATTTTCGAGATTGAGTGCTATTTTTGTAAAAAAAAATTAAACATTGCTATTTCTAGAAAAAATCCGAAAGTGGCTTCTTCTTTTCCACTCTCATAAAAGGAAGAAGGACAGAAGGTATGGAATTGACTCTTGACCAGCTAAGCATTGTGGACCAAGCCATGACCTGGTAGGCTTTTTGACAAGGCCGTGAACTTGATTTCCACTGAAATACTTTTACAGACCATTTGGTACCAAATGAATATAGAATCATTTCGTTTTAAAATGAATTCCTGTATAGAATTCATTGTCAAATGAATTCCTGTGTTTGGTATATACTATAAGCGTTACAATCAAATTCTTGTCGATGTTCCTCATACGACATGAATTGGCGTCAAATAATATATGCAGAAGTAATGGCCATTTCTACGGTACGGGCACGGTATTAGTGCCGCCATTTTTTTAGCCGTTGGATCTGTGGAGCTTAATGATGGTCATTGATTAATAACAAACACTTAGCCGAATATGGTTGAACCTGTTATATATGGTTAAACCTAAATTTGATTCACATTCATGATTATAATAATCAACGGAGAGAAAAATTATTTGTTAATTACCAAAAAAATTGATTTGTTTCTAAAAGATCCTGCTTCCTGTCGGGTACGGAAAACTAATGAATTCTGGTCTTCTTCTTCTATTGATCGCCGGCTGGAAGTGAAAGTCAACACCGGCAACATAATTAATCATTTCACAGCAAATACATCTTCTTCGTCTCATTTTGATCACAATTCCTATAATCTGGTATTGGAACGGCGGATTACCTAGACCATCGCTGAAAAGAATTCTACTCTGGCAAACTTTTTAACCGGCATCCACCGTACAGTTACGCTTTGGTGGTGGCAAGAGCGTTAATGCCATGGTGATTCTGAATGACTAGGTATAGGAATCTGTCTGCGCAATGACGGTGCGCTTGAAAATAAATTCTTTTAAGGCCAAATACACTTGTATAGCCAAAACTTTGACGGTTTTGTCAACTATAGCCATTTTTTGGAGAAATACCAGTAATAGCCAGAATTTTGAAAGTTTGATGACAATAATAGCCATTTCCGTTAAATAATTTAACGGCGTCAGTGACACCGTTAGTTAAATTAACAGAACGTTGACTTGGCTGCCAACTCACCCTCCATTTCATTTCATCCTCAGCACTCACACGACACGTCATTTACAAAAATAAAAAAAATGAAAAAAAAATTCGCCCATCTCCCTATTGACCTAATCTCTTCGAACCCTCTTCTTTCTCCTCCAGCAACTCACCGACCCTCCTCCCATCGTCAATCAGACAATCACCATTAATCTGCTTCCAAGACCCCTATTCTTCTCCCATCTGCTACTCTCCTCATCCTTCGATTTCTTCTTTCTCCTGCAGCTAAGAAAACAAAAAACTAAAAAACCCAGAGATTTGAAATCAATCTTTTCAAGGCAAAATTAAGTGACCTCTGATCTCCCCTCAACGCCACCATTGTTGATCTCTCCCTCGGATCCTCCACCTCTCTTTCCTCTGGTATTCCCCTTACACGCCAAAAGGTCCTCAGTAAAATAGTCAGAACACGCAAAAGATTCATCTCCATCTCGATCTGCCCTCTACCCTCTGCTCCCATTGTCTCATCTTTTCATCTCCT